ACAGAATAACCGGAGCTGGAACCACGTTGATCTTGATGCGTACCGCAGAAGTTAGAGGGTGTGACACCTTGTGATAGTGGATCGCAGTAAAGAAGTCGAATCTGAGAATTCGAATGTGGGGCAACACGAACTTTTCAGCTGCTACTTTCCGGATGGTCTAGCTACTGAGACCAATGGTGGATTCGATAACATGAGCGAGTTCAAGACATTTGTCCAGGAGATGCAAGAGAAGGGTTCGATTTACAGCTCCAGCATGATCCTACAAAGCTTTTTTACAAGGGACGGATTCTGATGCCTTTGATTCAGTCGTGTTTGCTGAACTTCCCATATGGCGTCGGAAGTATGAAGGATTTCAGACTCATGGAGGACGGATGTTGGAGGAACTGGCAGAACACAGAAGACTTCCTGGCGCACTTTTGTCAGCTGTCCAACCGGAATTTCATTCACCTATGTCCAGTTGGTTGTGTATAGTTTGGGACAAAAAATCCGACTTTTCAAGAGAGCCCGACTTCAGTTGAAGGGGAAGTTTTCTGCAAAGGCAATTGCGGAAGGTCTAGATGGAGATGACGTGTCTAGGGCTATATCAAGTCGAAGAGCAGGGAATTATCAAGCCGGGTCTACTTCAAGCAAGTGCATACTGAATGCCGTAAATGCTATCAGCAAAGCACTGCCCCACACAAATGAAGCAGCCAAGTTTGCTAGAGGTACCGCTGAATCAATGAACCACTACTTTGCACGGGTACTGTATTCTTGACAGTGAGCTTTGATGACGAAAACAGTGTGCTAATGGAAGTACTAAGCGGGAAAAAAGTGGAAGGGCCTGACGGTGATTGGAAGATGCAAGCGAGGAGATTCTTCAAGAACGAAGCAAAAACGGAGACAGCTTCGATTAGATTTTCCAGCACTAGGAGCAATCCATTTCGATATGTTGTTCGACATTTATGTGAAGAAGTTATAGATGGGACCGCCATAAAAACTGTGCTACAGAAGAGCGGACTTTTTGGGGAAGGTGTTGGCGATGGCAGCAGCATTTGAAGAACAAGGCCGAAAGTAGTGCACAACCCATCTTACAGTTTGGATCAAGAATTTCTTTAAGCTGCAAGAAGGTGTTTGTGCGCAGCGAGATCGCAACGGAAAGAGATGTCGACAAGTGCCTTTCAAGATACCACGAACGGATGGCTACTACAGAGATGTTCCCCACAGATACCAGAACTCTCCTGGATCTTTCTGATCATGCTTGTAAAGTGTCCAAGAGTTTTCGGGATCCCCCTGTGGTTGTGTCGGATCAGGTACTCCGGTACCTAAGACATAAGAAGGGGTACAACGCTGTATCGGGAAAGTTTGCATACTGTTGATCACTGCGGATTCGAATTTACTTATGAGGATCTGTTGACTGGTATTTACGACAGTGTGAAGGAATGAATGGATCAGGACCACCGGTGATGAGGGAACATAGTGCCAAACCCAGAATGCAGGCTGTGTTGTGGATTTCCAGAAGAGTATCGGGGCAACAGTATCTGAAACACCTACAGTGATTATTAATGCTCTCTATCAACATCATACTTCTTGTCATGTCAAAGGATGCTTCAAGTGCAACAAGCTGGGTCGAGCGCATACATGTGGACCAGCCCCAAAGTGCGAATGTCGATACAGGCTTCCTGACAGGCCTCGGTCGGAATCAAGGGTGGTTGCAGTGAATACAGAAACCAAGTGTTTGATTGGACCGGAGGTTCCCGGAAACAGCCTATAGTGGAATTCCAACCGAAAAGGAATGTCGTATGATCTGTTCCAGAATCAGTCGTGCAAGGCTATTTCAGAGTCCAAGTTGCATGCAACAGCAAAGTATCCCTTATTACGGTTGGACCTTTCCATGTATCAGATGAAGACCAACAACAAGTCTACGCAGCAAGACGACAAGGCCGAGTATGCTGCTGTTGAGCGTGCTATTAAGTCCCTAAAGGAAGAGTGTATGAAGACGATGACAAGGAGGCTCTTCGTCGGATCTGCGTGCAGCTTTTGCCCATAACAAGTCAAATATCATTGGTCCATCATTGGCCTCATTCATTACGCGGAACAAATCAAGGTTCTACTTTTCACATCGCTTTCTCTACTGTCCGATCAAAGATGTAATGTTGCTGTTGAACAAACAAGAAGTGACATCAGAACTACGATATTCACCAACAGGTCAGGCTTATCTTGAGAACCAGGCGCTCCACTATCTGTGTCGAAACAAAGATCTAGAGAAGTTGTCAGTGAAGCGGTTTAACGAGCTTTCGAGGAACGACCAATGAAGAGTGTCCACAGGCGGAAGCGTCAGCGAACGTGATGAGGAGAAATGCCTTTTATGGCTGACACTGGGCATTTCTGCATCCATCAGCGATCAAAGGAGACGACGGGGTGTTAACTTGTGAAACTTCAGCGGGAGTAATTTTGAGGAAAGAAGAAGCATTGGTTTCGGTTCCACAATGGGCCTTTCAGATGCAGGCGGTTTTGGTGCGGATATCCTGACGTGTCCTACGGCGAACTGAACCAGGCAATGGATACTTTTGCGGAAGTGCTATTGGGTTTGTACTTGCCGCATCGATGTTTGGGTGATTTAAAGAAGTCCGTACCCCAGACCAACTATGCTTTCGCTGAAAGACTTCGTGAAGTGTATGAATCGATGTTCTGAGAAAAGCGAATAACGAGAACCCGTCGTCTTCTCAGAAAGGAACCTGTCATTCATCCAGAACATTCAAGGCACCGCTTTCAACAACCCGAGGTATAAGGTGAAGAGGATGATCTTCAACGAATCACTAAGCCCTATAGACCGGAACAATTGGGAGGAGAAAATGTACGAAAACGAATCTGATGATGAGCACGAAAATGAGGAAGATGATCTGATTCAAAAGGTTTACGAGATTGGATACGTGATCTTGAGAGCCAGGGCACAACAGATTCAAACCGGGACTTTCTGGCAAGCACATTTGATGGTCTTAGTTTTAGGCTATACGTCACAATGGAAGCGACAACGAGGATACAACGTGCAGTTACCCATTCCTGAGAATTCGTTAGATGAAGACGAAATTGTTACCATAAGTGCTGACTTTCACACGTACTGGCACTAACAAGAGAAGCAAAGTGAACCGCCTACACCTCGATATACAAGATCATTGAAGTTCTACTTAACAAACGGGAGTGCATCAAAGGGCAAATGTATTTAAGTACAATCGCAGGTTGAAGTGTCGCAGGCGAAGTGAAGCGTGAGAAGTATAAGTGACTGGGCAACGGCTGCCAATCTGGACGACAAACAGAGAAGGGCTTTCCAGTGTATCATTGCAGCCTTCTTGTTGACATTTTATTGAGGAAGCTGAAAAGGTGACTTAGAGGATGGAGTCCCGGATATAGGGTTGAAGGCAAAAGTCCGACTTTCTCGTAAAAACCTTTTGATTTTGAAGGGAAGTCGTGCACCCAACTGATTCTTCTTCACATGGGCCTGGAGGAAGTGGGAAGACTACCGTAATTGACTTAGTCATGGCCTATGCAAAGAATTCTGCGGTTTGATTGATCATCCATTTAACGACGAACCATTGTTGTCACTGCTATGTCGGGGGTTGCTGCTACAATACTGCATGGGGAAACAACGCATTCAGCTGTGGATTGAACAGAACTCGGGAAAGTGTGGCGAAGAAATTGGTAGAAGAATGGAGTGACGCACGATGCTTATCATCGACGAAATTTCATTCGCGGGGGAACTTGACTTAGTGAAGATATTCCACTACAACAAGACCTTGATGCAAGACGGATACCAACCATTTGGGGGCTTAACTTGGTGTTCGCGGGGGACTACTCTCAACTTGAACCAGTGGGAGCCCCCCAATTTACAATCTTCAGCACACCATTCCTGAATTTCATGACTCTCTGAATTCATTTATTGAGTTATGATGGAATGCACCGCTTCAAAGACGATCCTGAATGGGGGCAACGCTGTTTAAGATTCCGTGAAGGGCGACCAACAGAAGAAGATATTGAGACCATCAATGACGCCTGCGTGGTTGGCCCAACCCATGTTCCACCAGAGAACATTCAAGTTGCTACTTATCTGAATCGAGATCGAGATGCCATTAACTCAGCTATCTTCGAAGAATTCTGTGGGAAGAACAAACCTGCTATTATTCCGTGCTGATGGATGCAGTACTCATTTTCATGGACGATCTCAAATGGCCAATCAAGCAGGGACACTGGTTCCTGTTAAGAGCAATTCGGTTTTTTAAGCACTTCTTTTCAACAATGTGGAGAAGATCGTTAAAACCCGGTTCGGACTCACGAAAACGTGTTGAACCTGCTTTGAAGTTATATAAGGGGTCCTGTAATGTTTACAGAGAACACGAATGTTCCGAATGGAGAAGCCAATGGATCTCGGCTTTTTGGAGAAAGGTGAATGTGAGGGATGGTTGCACCCCCATGATTATTCAACTCGACAACGGCTGCAGATTCGGGCTTTTTTCTCAGGTCAAGTCAAATCTATCCTTGTGGAACATGAAATGGAGACTATTATGCCACGTACTTTTTATGTAACGGAGCAAGACTACACTTTCAGCACCAGATTGTTTTATGACGGAGAAGTTTTACACACCAAGATGAAGGGTAAGCAGTTCCGATTATCAGCAATTCTGCGACAACTGGACACAAATTACAGGGATATACTGCAGTGTGGTTATTGGTACATTCATGGCGATACTGTCAAAACTGGCTTACGTGGTGTTATCAAGGGTGCGAACCATGAGTGGTTTGTTCTTATTGAAGAAGCTGGATTGGGATCCAAAGAACTTTGCCATGCCACAACGAATGAGAGACATGCTTGCAAGATTTAAGGATACTATTGGGCTTTCTGTCCTAGGAGAAGATCAATACGATGAAATGTTCCAGCGAAAAGACGGGTTCTTGTTATAATATAAACGGTAGGGATATAGGGTAAATTAATCTATATATAAAACTTTTATTACTACAACTACCTTTCTGAGATTCGCATTGCACCTCGTACGTCATTCAATGTCAGTCATTGAAAAAAGATCAAGCGTCCAATCAAATCACAGGCGACCCCGAAAAATTAGGAGCCAACTTTTAAAATGTGAAGAACGCAAGGCGACTTTCATGTGCATGTACATGCGTTGACTGTATCCCGTCAATACAATACTAGTCGAATACGTAGACTTCTACAGGGCCTTCTAAGTAATGCGCGCCGGGTATAATTCAAACCTCTGCCCCCATCGGTACCATTACCCCTAAAGCAAATCGTCTCCAGGAGACGAAATAAGGCCGTTCCAGGTATGGAATGGAATGGGCTTGCAAAAAAGCGCTCGAGTTGGTTGTATCTTACCGCAGCCATTGCGCCACTCTTACAGCGCGCCAGACAGAGGGAACACTCCATGTTTGTCGTGTCGTTAGATGTTTGGCTTTTAGGCCCTTGATCTAAATAGATCTCAGTATGAGTCTGTGTACAGAGATGAGAGTACTGTTATCCCACAGTCGTATGTTCATTTGGCGATGTTCTCACAATTTGGCATTTTGCATTGGATTTTCTCAACTGCAGCTAGCCGAACAGACGCATCATGCGAACAAGCTGAGTGTCGTCCACAACGAGGATGACACAACAAAGAAAAGTTCGAAGCAACCCGAAAATGAAATTAGGGCCTGAATCGCCGATACCAGAGAGGACAGAGAAAAACAATGCTACCGAAACCGTACCAGCCGAGGCATGGACGTTGCACTGCGATGCGCCGGTAGATGTTGAGAATGGCAAGACACGAGGATGTGAAAGCTGTATTCCGAAATATTGTAGATCTCCTACTCGCAATCGGAAGCTGTTATCGCCCAGTAGTAAAACACCACAAGGCGGCGGTAAGAATGCAGCAATTGTGAATGGCAGAAGAAGTTCCCGAGCAGATGCCGGATTCGCAAAGTGTTTCACAAGGCGACGCCAAGATGGTGCCTGGAAGGTGGACCAGGAAAAGCTCCGGGAAAACGTGGTTGCTTTGTCCCAGGGGTTTTCGGTTGTTTTTTTAACTGTACTCAAATGGTGAGAATTCAATGAATGATTCGATTCGATTCAATCGACATTTATTTCTGCATCAAATTGGAAAAACAGGTTCTCACATCGTAATCTTCCTTTTCGAATCATGCTATAATTGCTGGGATAACAATAGGGCCAGAGCTGTGCGATCAGAGTACAACAAAAGTGGAGGATCATATTCACCCGAGGTTTACGACTTTCTGCAAATCTTTCGAACGACTGTCTCGACAAGAGTGCTACTGCTTTCGGTCTCCCTGATCGGACTGGTTGGGACACCTTTGGTTTTCTACAACTGTATACCAGCCAATTCTCCTTCAGGCTTTGTCAAAGCAATCACAACCTTTTGGGATGGATTCTTGCTCCTCTCCTCTCCCATTGCATTCTGCGGTTGTCTTCTCGTGTCATTCTACTATGCAAACACTGCTGACGACGCACGGCGGCGGCAAGATGATTGGCACCGTCGTTATAAGCAATCCGCCTCGGGCGACTGTATCTCAGGATTCGTCCAATTCCTAATCCATTCCAAGAAACTTCGATTCCATCGGCTGTCCTTTGGTATCATGTACCTCCTAGTTTTCCTTGTTGGACTGATTGGGCCTTGGACACTCATACTGCCCAGCTGGCTTTGGCATCCCTTCCTGTGGGGGAGATATCAAGTCACATGGCCATCCAAGCTCGCCCCGGCCATGCAAGGACTTTGCATTGACTACTCATTGAATGAAGGCAAGAACGGGCGTCTACCCCTGTGTCTAACAAAAGACAACTGGAATACGCTAAGCACTGGAGCACTATCGAGCAAATCATCGGCAGATGTTGAGGCTGTATTGGCTGGGATCTCTTACGGCAAACAAAAGTCGGGAGGCATTGTCATCAGCATACTGGCACGCGATGTTGTCGATTTCATAGCTCCGTTGCGTCAGAATGTGGAAAGTCTTGTTCCATTCTTTTCCAACGTCGTTGTTGTTGTGTTTGAGAATGATAGCATGGACGGTTCCAGGGAAGCATTCAAACGGTGGGGTCAAGTTGTCAAAGGCTACGAAGTCGACCTTATCGAATGCGACGATGCTGTCGATTGCAAGTTTGGAAAGATACACCGCGATGATGTTGGAGACTTTTCCCATAGCAGTGCAATTGGAGATATGCACAAGTACCGCCAGAGAGTTGTGGACTACGTCCTTACAAAGCCCAAGTACCACGATTTCAGTCATATGTTAGTGCTTGACATCGACCTTGGAGTGTCCCTTTCTCCATTCGGTGTCCTTCACACTTTGGGCACACGGCCAAACAACCCTGTGGCATCTGCTGGCCGACAGCCATGGCCGACAGCCTTTGGGTCGCTCGTCACACCGTACGATTTCTCGGCGTTCCGCCCGTATGAAACAAAGAAGAATGCGAGACTCGTGGAACTACAGAAAGCATTTTGCGAAATCATGCCACCGGGGGATCGATGGAGAAACGAATGCGATGCCTTAAGCCCCATACAAATGATTCATGTGCTTGCCCATGACAGGATCAATTCCGATTTCGTCCGGGTGGGGTCTGCATTCAATGGGGCTGTTATGTACCCACTGAAACTAATACGTGAAAGCAATGCCCAATATGATGCTGGAGACGATGGTCAGCGTTGTGAACACGTCGGCTTCCATTTGTCGCTGAACAAACCAATGTATCTGAATCACAAGTGGGATATGCATTTGAGTCCCACAATCCCTGGTGGACCGAATGGACATCGAGCGCAACGAACTGCATCAAGGATATTCTTCTCGGCGAAACTTGCGTCGGTGCTGCAATTGATACATATAAGTCTCACCTCATGCTTTGTCTGGTCATCCATGACATTTGGAGCTTTTTTCCTCTACCCCCTTCTCTTTCGAGGGGAGCTCAGAGGACTCCTGCTGCTGAAATCTGCGAACAAGGGTAGACGGCACTCTTCTCTGACGGGAGTAAAGACAGTGTAAACGACCCAGTGAATGCACGGCTCCGACCCCGATGGCCGCTATGGACACCGTCCTTATGACATGGACCCAGTGGAAGGAAGCATTCATATCGCCAGAGGCTCTTTGTGTTGGGCTGCAGGTTCAGGCTGAGGTACAGGTTCAGGTTCAAGGTTCAGGTACCGGTACAGCAGTCACCGGGATTGGTTTGGGAGCCACCGTCTGTAGCGTATCGGTACATTCGTTTTCTAGGAGGCCCGGCCCGTGGCTCCGAATTGTAGCTTCATCAACCCAAAGAGTTCTTCGTTACCAAAAAACATCCTAGCTAGCCGATACTGTAGCATAGTGAGAAATTATCCTTGTCAGGACAGCAAGGGAGAAAAACGTTTACAGCCAGAAGGGGGTACCGGTACTTGTGTACGGTACGGAAGTGCACCGTATCCTGGGGACAACTTGAACGAAAGACTCTTGAGTAGCAGCTATCCTAGCTAGCTGGGCGAGTGGACGGCCCGGCCCGGCCCGGCCCGGCCCGTCCCATCTGAGGAGACGACTTCCAGGTGCAGGTATCAGTGCCGTTGGCAAATCTGTAGCACCTGCTGTTGCAGAGCTGCTGATAGCTACTAGGTACTACTAGCTAGTAGGCATGCAGAGAGGCTAGCTACATGCTAGCTAGCCACTCGAGTACCGTACCAAAGATACCTTCAAACGGTTGCGAGGTCCCAACAGGCCACGATTGCTTGTGCCTTCCGATGTTGAAAATAGCTTGGATTGCAGTTTCAGATGGCTTGACAGGGAGCTGTCAAATGCAAAAGATACCTTAGTTGCAAGCCAATCAAAGACTTATGTTGTCCAAAAAGGACCAGAGTCTGCGGGAAGCGGGTGACTCAAGTGACACTCTCATGACTTGGGGTTCCGGATTGGTCCGAGGAAAAGATCCCGTACTAGTACCACACACCGCCGAGCCGCTTTCGTCCACAAAATCATTGGCTTTCTCACTTTTTCATGGTCTTCTTGAAATAAAGCTGTACAAGCACCTTTAAACCTTTTGAAGTCTCCAAGCTTATTTGAACCATGGTTATCAGTGGCAAAGTATCGAAAATTAATGGTGAGTTGGTGGGAAGGCTACCGGTATCCCTCCATCGTCTGTCTTTTGCTGATTGCTCATTGCTTGTTCTTTGTTTTCTCTGCGTGTACCACCATCAACCATCAGCCAAGATCCCTGTTTCAAAGGTTGATCATGGAAAGAAGAACTGCGATGTGGACCTTCAAGTGCCAGTCTCTCCTTCTTCCTCTGAGTCGTTAGAAGATGAAGTCATCGCGCTCCGTGCTCGTAATAAGGTCCTCTTGGAGGCTCTTAAAGGAGTCAATGAGAGCGCAACTGCGTTAAAAAAGAAACATTTTGATTTGGTCTGGTTCGCAAGAAATCGCTGTAAGTGGCGGAAGCAACGAAAAGGCGGTACGGAACCTGCTTGATCCCTCACCAGCTGCATGTTCCATTGTGACAGATCGTTATCCCAACCACGGTGCTTCAAAACGAATTCAAGAATCGGAGGAGCACCGCGAAGATCTCGACTTGCTCAAGTCCGACGATGGTGACTACCACCATGGCTTTCAGGCTGGTGTCCTCGCTGCTTCCCGTATGTTCCAAGAACAGTCAGACATCCTTCACGTCAACGACCAAGACGAGGTAAGTCCAAAGCATGAAGGTTTGGTGATAAAATAACGGTGACAGTGGCTCACTCCTTGGTTCTACCACCTGTCTTTGCCACAACAGGAGGAGAAACTCATGGCCAACTCCATCAAGCACCGTGAAAAGGTTGAAGAAAGCAAGACCAAGTTCGAGCGCAGGAGGTCTTTGCCCCAGGTTGAGGCTGGAGAGTTCCCGGAAAACTAGGCGGCTTTGGTCGCTTCCATTTTCATGATTTTGCCCGGTTTCGCTTCACCCTTGTGTGCATCAGTTTTCTCTCTTGCATCATTTTGATTGAATGGTTGGCTACACATGGAGCGCTCGGCATCACCTCTCTATCTCAGAGCAGGTTGGTGTGAAGTTTTTGCAGCGCCGCCAAGTTAGCCAGTTGCATGCATAGTCACAGGCCCCAAAGAGGAGTTTTCAAGGACCTTCAAAGCTACATAATTTACTTTATAGCATTTCAATTTTACTGAATAGTAACTTGTAACGTCGGTATGTAACTTGGATTGCTGCCGCCCGAGAGGCGATTCCCTTTCGACAAAACGAACTGTTGTGATATGCGTGGCTCAGCACGAACACTACGGTGATGATCCACCGCAAGGAATGCAAGGACACATACACAAATACCGCATTAGTTACCGTGCTGCACCACCGGTAATACATGCAGCAAGGGTTGATTGAGATCTTCCCTGCGTATTGCACGATGCATGGATAGTAGTCACACGGTTACTGTATCGACTGCGAATAATATTCCAATCCGCGGATTCGATTGATTAATGCACCTTCAGGCTGACGAGGTCCCAGGCGTCGTGGCGGACGAAAAGGAAGCCAGCCACGACATTACGGTCGCTTGGTGCAGTCATCTCTTTAGATTGACCGTACCGGTACCGTGGCACGACAACAACCAAGTAGAGAAGAAATAATATGTCTAATCGTTTTTAAAAAGTACGAACGCGGCGAATTCAATTCAATTCAATCGTCCATGTGCATTCTTTTCCGCCCACGTCGAATAGAATGATTCAATCGGATGTATATGAAGGATGTGTGACGATGATTCGCTGGCTTGTTGCCAGGGACGTAATACTCTACAGATCTTATTGCGGTTTCGTTTCGATTCGATTCGTCTAGTCTTGGCCTGACTCGAAGCAATGCGGACCTTAACGTGCCCTTGGAGTGGACGAGTTGGTGAGGGTGACACTCGCCGTGGTGGAGACTCCATCCTCTTCGGGCATGCGCTGTTGAGCGCCACCCTTCTTGTTGGCTCCCTTTCCAGCGAGATCAGCGACTTGCAAGCGAAAGCAGAGAGCTGAGAATCCTTCCATGAGTACCTTGCACTGGTCGGCGGTCACAGCCGTAATGTCCACCGTGCGCTTTGGGAAGATGAGTGCAAAGCTCTTGTGAGCATTGGCGGCTTCACATTTTTGTCGGAGAATGGGGGTCCCCGTGTACATGGGGTTTTGTGGGTCAGGACTCCATGCATGTCGTACTTCGAGGCACTGTGTGAGATCGAGCTTGGGAGGTCTTCGATTGCTAGTTGGTTCCCCTTCCGCAGGTTTCCAACTCAAGGAGCATCCATCGGGATGAATGTGTAGGACACGCAGACGAGACTTACACCAGCGCGACCTTCCATGCTTGACGACAGTAATGCCCGATCGCAGACGAGCCACAAAGCAACGCACAATAAAGTCCGAGGCATTAGTGCATCCAGTAGCTGGCTTGAAGGTGGGAAGGTACATGGGCATTCTGACTTCGTGTGTCTGTGTAGCAGTGGACACGGACTGTCCAGAAGCCATGTTGTTGTAGAACTCCTTCGGGATGTCCTTGTTGGCTTCTTCTCCTACGAATCCCTCCTTGGGTCCCTCACCAGGAGCAGGAGCATCGGATTCATTTCCAGAGAGCCCCGAGTACTTGTCGCTCTCGTCATCTTCATGGGAAGAGGAGGCAATCTCTTCCTTGGCAGCTCGTTGATACGCATCCGGCGCTGTCTGATTTCCTTCGGTTGGTTTGGCAACGGAATCGTCTAGGTCTTTACTTCGCTGGGCTCGCATCGAGTCTACACGATGCATGTCGACGGGAGGAGCCGCGGAGATGTTTTGCACACCGGTCGAGGACGCTCCTGATTGCATGGAAATTCTCTTGGCGAAGCGCTTGCCGCCATTGGGAACGCCTCCTTCGCCGCCACTGATGATATCGTCTACATCGACTTCCCCCGAAATATCAGCGTCATCGCCGCCTTTCCCTTCGTTGTTGTTATTATTGTTGGCAGTAGCAGCCTCGTCAGGGTCGTCCACTTCGTTGCTCCGCCTGCGCTCCTTGACATCTGGCAAGAGTTCTTGAAGGGCGTCCAACTCAGAATCAGGGTCCGCTTTCGCTAACGCCTTGGCGCTCTTGACTGCGTCCTTTGGAATATCAGTCCAATCAACGGCATCGGCACTGGGATTGGGCACCACTTCATAACCAGCGTCTTCCGTGTCCACCAAATCCGGCGCTGATTGATCATCCGCTTTCAGTTGACCTCCGCTACCAGACAGAGAAATCCCAAGACTGTTGATCAGTTCATGCTCGCCGCCCTTGCTGGCATCCGTTTCGGTAGGGGACATTGTTGCCGTGTTGTTCGACTTTCCACTCGCAAACGAAAAAAGACTCGTCTGGTCTACAAAAATACAGCAAAATATGATTAACTTGCTCAACCAACCAAGGCAAACGACGGAAGTAGACGTAGCAAGCTTGCAACAACAACAAACTGATTGACGAGCTAGCTAGCTGACTGGTTAGACAACAAACTCCAGTGATTGGTGCTATTAATATGTGGCCTTCAAAAGGAAGTATCAGAAGCAAACTAACTTTCGAAGACAGCAAATGGACCGCAGCTCCCTTCGTTGCTGTTGTTGGGTTGTGGCTTTTGAGTCTTTTCCCCTTGTGTGCCTTCCTGGCAAAAAGGAGATGTCGCATTCGAATTGTCTAGTTAAATCCACGTCGCAGAAAGTGGCATTATGCCAGTTCCAGACCACCATGTACTTAAAACCCATTTCCCTTGGTTCACCACAATGACCGATCTGGCCGGCTCCTTGAAAAGAGAGACTCTACGGGACTGCGGTCGGCTGGAAGCAATACAGTAGGGCTGCGAAAAAAACTCGTACGACTCTCACTCGGTGTGTTTGGTTTCGATGTTCCGCTTTGCTTTTTTCGTGGGGTTCTGTACATACCTTCCGTTCTGGCCGTGCCGTACCGTACCGGTACCGTACCGTACCGTACCGGTGCTGGTGCCACCATGACAGGTCCTACCGGTATCAGTACTGTCTAGCTATGATACCCTGTACCGAAAACATACACCATACCGTATGGTCAAGACTTTCAGCCGACCCTTTCGTGACATGATTCGTCATTTTTCTCTATCGCGCCAAAAGGTCGTTCTTGCTCTCTTTGGCCTGTCTGGCGGTCCCCGCCTTTCGTTGAAGCTTTGGTGGGGATCTCGCACCAAGGGCTCAAAGCGTCGTCTTTGAGACGACGCTTTGATCCTCTCATAATTCACAATCTCGGAGAGAGCAAACTCTTGACAGCATCAACCCGTGTACTAACTACCTCAAGTAACTATAATATACAAGAACCATGTCCCGCAATGGATCGTTTCGTCCTCGCATTCGCCGCGTCGTTCGCCGCATCCACAATGGATCGTTGCGTGCTCGCATTCTGCAAGCGCAACAAAATCGATCGTTGCGCGCTCCTATTAGGTGAGTAGTACTGAGGCAGACAGACGGGTTTCTTGCTTTGGATGATATAAATTTCAACCATCAGGACACATCATCCGCAAACTCACAGCAAACCTTATCCATTGTTCATTCTTACAGGATCCGAGAATCAGCATTGCGCGCAATTCAGGAGACTTTTGACGCCTACATTGTTGGGATGTTGGAGGAAGCCATCAACCAGGGTGAAGGTGAAGGGACCGATGGAAACACAGGCAGCACACTCTGAACATGGAGGATGATGAATGTTGGTTGGGATTGTGACTGCTGGTAGGCTGTCTATTTGACAGACCTGCAGAAATGAAATTGATGACTCAAGTGTCTCGGGGCAATTCTCAGGTTGGGACAACTCTCAGGTTGGGGCCACTAGATGGGGTATCATTTGTGCCACGGCTACTTGTTCAGGTAGCCCTCTTTGTTGAAACTCTACATAATAGCGCATTTGCACTATTATATCACCATACTGTACTATTGTAGCTAGCTAGCAGAAATAGCGACTGTAATCGGTTCATTCCGTTTCAACTTGTGGTGCTTTCCCACATGTGTGGTACTAGTATATGCATACCAGGCAATTGACGGCCATGGACCTGGCCTGACCTTGATCGTCCGCTGCAGCAGGGTGCGGAAATGGGACTTAAATCTTTTGTGTGAAGAACCTGCGTGAAACTAGTACTAGTTTCACGCACTGTTTCACGCACTGTTTCACGCACTGTTTCACGCACGTGAAACTAGTACTAGTTTCACGCAGGTCTGCGTGAAACTAGCCGTTTCTTGCTAGTTTCACGCAGCAAAACGGCTAGTTTCGCGCAAGATTTACTAGTGACAACTATGGATTGATTGATAGTTTCACGCACGACTGAACTTAGTTTCACGTGCGTGAAACTAACGGCTAGTTTCACGCAAGCCTGCGTGAAACTAGGTAGTTTCAATCTAGTTTCACGCAGGCTTTGCGTGAAACTAACGGCTAGTTTCACGCAAGCTGCGTGAAACTACTAGTTTCACGCAGGACTGTTAAATCCCATTTCCGCACCCTGCAGTGGCTACGAACGACCCGCAGGGTTCCCATGGAGGAACGGCGTGCAATGAACAAGCCCACACGCAGAGGAGGGTTGGAATAAGAAAACCGTAACCCTAAGTATATTTTGATTCTCCTGAATCCATATGCGACACTACGTGTATAATAGCATTCGGCTTTTTTTTCAGCGTTCGTCTCCTGTTTCCTCAGTTTGCTCGCTACCATACTTGGATCCATATGACGAATACATGCAATCCAGCCATTGTAGCCAGCTACGGTACCGTAGGCAGAGAGTTACATCGATCCGTGACAGTGGCAACAGTACCGAACACACTCAGATTCCGCTTTACTGGCTACACTCCGTTACCGGTACCTTGCATTGGATCCTTATGGCGAATACATGCACAACGGAACATTGTCAATCCAGCCATCGTAGCTAGCTACCGTAAAGAGTTCATCGATCAGTGACAGTGGCAACAGTACCAAACACGCTCAGGTTCGACTTTGCTCGCTACACTCCATTGCCTCACCATTACAATGAATACAAGAACTTGTCAATCCAGGCTCCACAAGCACTGTTCCCACGGGAAAATGGGTACGAACACAGAAATCACCACCAAAATACTAGGAAATGACAAAGGAGTGGTAAATCGGGTAGTATGATCCATTCTCTTGTGTGTTTTCACCTCCTCCGGTTAACTGTTGCCATCATTTAATGACTTGACGATGTTTGTTCATGTTGTTGGTAGGGTTGCAGTGAACAGAGCCGCCTCCGTAGGGATCAATCGACAGCAGCCTCTCCTCTCTTGTCGTTATCCAGAGTGATCGATCGTGACAATGAGATTTCCTCGGCCGTCAACAGTAAGAGAACAGAAAGTAAAATATAGATATGATTTTCTCTTCTTTTCTGATACTGGAGAAAACCGGAGACTTACTGTTGTTTTTCAAATTCCACCAACTTGACTGTCATGGGCCGAGAACTGACTGCCATCTCACCAACCATAGGATTCAATGAGGGATGGTGTTGGAGGATATATTCCCCATACCTCAAATTATCATTGACTTGTATATTAATTAAACATCTAGTCCGGTTCGCATGCATATTCATGATGCAGGAACCAAGGAAGTTTTAGGTCTAAAGTGTTGCGCGGTCCTTATATCCAATTCAATCACAAGAATTGATCTGCACCACCAGTAAATCCTTACTTTTACTTTTCAGCTTAACCAAAAACTAAATTACCCCTCAATAAGCTGCAGTAATACTAGTAGCAAACAACGCTGAAAAGCAAAAGTCTCATCTCGAGTTCGAACAGATCAACACCTTGAGATGCATTGATATATCAAGTTGATCCAAGACTATCAAGTCAAAGCATTGAGTAACTATAGCAATACAGGAGAGGTGCGCAAATATTGCACACAGCCCCACTATAACCAAACAGCTCTAACAGGACTGAGGTGCGCGCGGGAAGGTTGAAGAATTCCCATTGTCGCCGATACATACTGGACAAGTGACTTCCAGCCGGAGTACACGGAATCCAAGGGTATCAGCAGATCAAGCATGGTGAACTGAACAGATTACATACTGGAAGCAAAGAAATCTGGTTCTTATTCATCGAGTTGAAGCGGATTACATCATCGTGTCATCGCACGAGATTTTCATCCATCTCATCACAACGAGCAGAAGTCATCGAACGGCGATTAAGATAAGTCGTGACATAGGCGTTGCAAGCGAGAGGTCCTATACATCAATCGATAGAGGACATCTAGCCGCATCTCTGAGTATCAGTGCAAGCTTCTAACTCCAAAAATTGAGTGAGATATGTTGATTCGAGTGATACAGTGCTACTGTGAAGAGAAACACAAAAATTCCGGCAAAACGAACAAGTATCACGGAGAGCCAAATCTCCACCGTGCAACTGTTCCAGTCATTGAAACTCACACAGTGTACTCATCTAAGCATACTAAAGACCTCTGCAAGAGCACAGAGGCATATACGAAAGGCTACAGAGGAGTTCGCTACTAGCCTAAGCCACGAAACGTCCAACTGAAGGACAAATACCGGTCATTCCGCAGAATACCGAGTGATCAACAGATCAAGGCTATTCAGCCAAGTGTGACTACACAGCATATCCAGGCACAAAGCAAGCTTTTTCAAGCAGAGGCGACTACAAGAGTAGCGCCGTCGTGAGATCCTTCCGATGAGATCCAGTCAGGGTAGATGCACAAAGAGCTGGCTGGGAGTGGAGAGCTCTGCTTGGAGCCTCACTCCTCTGACAGTGGGAATGGGCCAGCCACAAAGCTGGCTGCCGCTGTTATTCAATCTTGACCCAACCTTATTTTTGTGTCAATTTCCATCTACGCATCAAAGAATGGCCTGCTCAAGGTCGATGGATGGAAGCGATGCAAACCTACACCAAGAACTCCAAGTGTTCGCACGTATGGAATCAAGCAAAGTTGAAAAGCTTCCGCACAAGCCCATTTATCAATATGTTACCAGGTCCCAAGAAACCACGCTGAAGCTGTTTTCATTGACGAGAAAGAATGGCAACAGTATGTGGCAGGATGCAGAGAGACGGAGATTGCCCAATTGATGGTACGACACTCGATCACTGGGAAAGGTACCCAGTCCCAACAGGCTACAGAAGATACCATGTCATATGGTCTATCCGTCAAACACGACGGGCGCACAAGGCAAGTTTGTGGCAGGAGCCACAGGACAGAGACACAGTAGACCCAACCTACTCAGGTTTGTGTCCTTGCAGGGCATCCGTCTGTTAGTTTCTTGGCTGAGTTAATGGGCTTGAACTCTGGGCAACGGACATTGGCAATGCATACCTGGAAAGCTACACGACTGAGAAGGTGTTTTATTTGTGGGGGGAGTTTGAGACATGGCTGGGCATACGATGAAGATGATCAAGGCCCAATATGGCCAAGTCATCAGGCAATTTGGCATGATAGACTGTATGATTTGCTTCACGGATTTGGCTTCAAGCCCTCTAAGGCTGAGCCAGATATCTGGATGCGTGATTGTGGCGACCACTATGAGTACATCGGTTGCTATGTTGACGACCTATTGATAGCTTCCAAGCAACCTCAAGTCATCATCGATCTGCTGCAGGCTCCACCACACAATTCAAACTCAAAGGAACTGGACCTGTCACCTTCCATCTGGGATGTGACTTTGAAAGGGATAGCGACGGAATCCTGTCCATGACACCAAGAAAGTACATTGAACGTGTCAAGGCCCATACGTATCCTTGTTTGGGAGAACCATCCACAAGGTAACCAGTCCAGTGGAGAAGAACGACCACCCAGAGCTTGATACTCTCCTCTCCTGGATGATGGTGGGATCTCAAAATACCAGTCCTATTGGAGCATTGCAATGGGCAATTTCACTTGGGAGATTTGATATTGCAGTCTCTGTAATGTCAATGTCGTCCTTCAGGGTGGCACCCAGAGTGGGCACCTGGAAAGACTCAAGAGGATCACTGATTCTTGGTCAAGATGAACCAGCAGGAATCAGGATCCGCACAACGAGCCAGACTACTCTCAACTGAATACCGAACCTACGACTGGACAAGGACGGTCTATGGGGAGGCACAGAGGAACTCCCAGTAGATCCCCACAGCCAAAGGGCAAGCCGGTAGTATTGACGACCTATGTGGATGCAAACCTATACCACGATTGGGTCAATGGCAAGGCAGTCACTGGGTACTGCACTATGTGAACCAGACCCATTCGAATGGTACTGCAAGAAGCAAGCTACTGTGGAAGCAGCCACATACGGCTCTGAATTCGTTGCTGCTAGGGTTGCCACCCAACAGGCCATTGCAGCAGAGTTACACTCAGGTATCTTGGTGTGGAGTAAAGGGGCCAACATACATGTTTGGCGACAATGGGTCTGTGGTGACAAGTTCCACCCAGCCCCATTCGCCCCTCAAGAAGAGACACACGCCCTCTCCTACCACTTCGTCAGAGAAGCCATTGCCGCAGGACCATCTCGTTTCATCATCTACCGGAGCAATCAACCCCGCAGACATCTGACGAAACACTGGGGTTAATCCCAGATATGGCCCATTCTGAAGGCAGTTCTGTTCTGGCAAGGAGACACAGCTGATCTCCGGACACCACCATGGACACATCACATGGTGGGAGCGATGAGTGGAAATCCACGGAATCCCATTGTGGTGCGAAGCAGCTGTGTGGTTTAGCCA